GTTTAGACTAGTGTATGCTTTATTTCTCCTTTTGAAGGAGATGATCAATCTCTTAGATCATTGATGTGAGACATCAAGATACAGTATACAGGTGACTCATTAGTGAATGAGTTGACTGAACGACTCGCCGAGAACATCTAGTTGGTAATATACTTAACTGTCAAATAGAAGTTCTCAAGTGATATAGTACATAGTAGTCTCTTGACCTGAGGCATGAGTGCAATATCTTATATGTCAGTAAAGATGTATTTAGACTTTTACCTAACCACAGTTCTTATTGAATTGTGCATAACGGTTCTTGTTGGGTACATCCCGAGACATAAGTAGATATTGAGATGCCAAGAAGGGATTCGTCTCTCCCAGTATAGGGGTTGATGTCATAAGATTGTTTGATATAACTATAGCCTGAAAATCCTTGGCCAAGGTGAATAAGATAAACTGAGTGTCAGTTTGATCTTATAGGTTATGAGTTTAATATCAATAAACACTAATCAAGCTATTAGGGTTTGACAGTTTGCCATACCCTAGACTCAATAGTTTAACATGGTTTGACTAAGAGACCGGACTGTACGGTATTATCATTGAGTGGTCCTGATAAAATTGGATAAGCATCTTACAGACCTTTATCACAACTTATACCCGGGTGGTCTTCATGTGTAGCTAGCACCTCTGTTGTACTTATGGATATGATCCACTACCGAGTTTTTTAAGTTGGGCCCTAGAGTCACACCAAGCGCGTACTTGAATCCTATGAAACACAATTTATGGAGTGATGCGTATGATTGATACGCATATATGATTTCTTCCGGATACACATAAACGGTTATGTATATCGGTAAAATCGGAATGCTATGTGCTTAGGAAATGAATTCCAGTATTTTTCCCATAAAGTTAACTTTTAGTCAACTAGTTGACTTTTTGGTCAACAGTTGACTTTTGGTCAACTCTTGATTTATTTGGTCATATAGTGACTAATTAGTTAAAGATTGGAATAATACTATATACCGTATTTATGAAATATTATATTAGTGATAATAATTTAGTATTCTTATTTATGAAATACACATAACATGTATAATGAGTCATGAGATGAGTCACTTAGTGGTATGATTTGAGCACATGGTTTATTAGCACATGGTTTTGAAATGTAATGATTCATAAGATGATTCATTGCATGACTCACTTGATTAATCATTAATTTTTGATGATTCATTGCATGACTCATAGGATGAGTCATTCATATCATGAACACATTTCACTCTATAAATATGAGCTCTTTTTCTTATGGAAAGGTTAATGAAAAATTGGCTAAGTGTTTTTTTCCATAAGAGAATAAAAGAGAGCTCTCCTCTTACTAAACTTTAGCAATCTTTGAGCAAGAGGAAGTAGTAGGATTTTAAGAACCCCGGGGTAGATATCTTGCCTTGTGCAAGAGGAAGTAGTAGGATTTTAAGAACCCCGGGGTAGATATCTTGCCTTGTGTCTTAAGAAGACTCCTTTTTTATCAAGCCCACTTGAAGACTTAGAGATCCACTACGAGGAGATTTTCTACTACAATGAGCAAGAGCTAGGGGTTATTCGATATTCCATCGAATCACGCTACGAAAGTATGACTTTCTAACTCTTCTATGCTCACTTAATAATAAGGATCATGTTAGATTTAATTAGACGATCCATATGAATATTTCATGCTCTCTACATGCTTAGTATTTTTGTACATACATGTCTTCCACTGTGTATTATGCATGTAGATATAGCACGATATCCTTCAGGAATAGGTACAGGTAGTGCTGGTACAGGTACGGAACACAACAAAATGTATAACGTAGGGTACAAGGACATGTCTATATAAATATGTACATATTAGAAAGCTATTCATTTTTTAACTAGACACCCAAAGGACACTTCAAAATCATAGTTTGGAATCCGACTTATGTCCACTAAATTTCAATAAGTGGATGTAAAGTGTAGGATATACGTCCAAGGAGTGCATCAAAAGTGTTTTAAACTAAATCATGTTTTGTATAATTGAGTACAAGCTCAAATAAATATATGCATATATGCAAGGAGTGTCCAAAGAATTTCGGTACAGGTATGGGTACGTGTCATACAACTTCAGATAGAAGTACCTAGGTAACATAGCATGCAACAAAAGTCATACGTCCTTGCATTAACCACAATAAAAGAAGTAAAAACTAATGACATGTCATCAAATTAGTGGATTCTAACTCAAAATGTAGATCTTTTTTTAATTTGTAGAGAGATAAACACTTGACTGCCATGGAAAAGCATTTTCTACAGTACAAATTGCAGATCTAATGGGTTTTGCGACTAACTGAACGTCAAATTTGTATTTGGAAATACATTAGCTACAATAAAAACACTGTTATAAATAGCGGTAAATAGCCCCGCGATAGCGGCGTTAATAGCGTTAGCGGTCCCTTCCCGCGACGCTATCGCCCGCTACGCTATCACGCAATAACGGTGATATATTATGGAATATATTTGTTCGTAAAAACGATCAATAGTGTGTCATAACGGTAAATAGTGAGCGATTGCATTCGAAATTTGCTTTTTGACCACTATTTAAAAGTGGTTTGAGACTTATTTTTTTAAAATTAAACTCAACCCTTGACCATTGTATTCCACCGTCTTCTGTGATTTTCAGCATACTCCTGCCACCTCTCATAACCTCTATTTAAAAGTGGTTTGAGATTTATTTTTTTAAAATTAAACTCAACCCTTGACCATTGCATTCCACCGTCTCCTGTAATTTTCAGCATACTCCCGCCACCTCTCATAACCTCTGGCACCTACCTTGATATTTCCTCTCACCTCCTTCATCGTGAGCTCCTCTTAGGGAAGACCTGTCACCGCTAAGCTCTTCTTCTCGAAGACGACGACTTTTTGACTCCTCCAGTCATCATCGGTATTACGTAATGGTTACATGTCCATTCATGTTTAAGATCTCTTTAAATCATCCAATATGTACTTTTAGATTTTTTAGATTTTTCTTTAATTTTTTTTAGTATTTATACATATCTAAATTAGATCGCTATTTGACTTTGCGCTTTTTACCGTTATTTTGCCGCAATAGCCCGAAATAGCCTTAACAGCGCCTCACCGCTACGCGACGATATCCGCTATCGATAACCTTGAATAAAAATGTAGTTATCCAAACAACCAAATTTTAGGTAACTTCCTACAAAAAATGCTACATGTAACATTTCCTGCATGCCCTTGTTGTAATTGCACTTGCAATGTACCAAACAACCTTGTTTACAACTACATAAAAGTGCAATCCCTCAAGGATTCACGAGACTTAACTAATAAAAGGAATTCGAAATGATTATTACAAAAAAAGACAAAACCACAAGATCAGCCAAAAACAATCCAGAAATAACTCTATCACCAGCTTTATTTCCTATATATAGAGAGAGCAAAACTTGTGTCAACTTAAGTGGATAGCAAAAAGTTATCCACCAAACTTTTTAACCACTCCTATTGCCTAGGAATGCTTGCATGATATGAAAAGGTTTTTTATAATAATAAATGAGTGGCTAGAAAGTTTGATGGACATCAACTTAAGTTAATAGGAGTCTCTCTCTCTCTATCTATCTATCTATCTATATATATATATAGAGAAAGAGAGAAAGAGAAAAATTTATGTCAACTTAAGTGGACGTCCACTAAGTTTCTTAGTCATTGATAATCACTTGATTGAGCTACATTGTGGATGATCCGCTTCGTTGAACTTGATCTACATATTCTAAAACCCCAAACACACTAAATTTGGGGTGAACCCGTCGTGGTTTGACCATTCATCCACTCGTATCATTTTTAACGGTTTCGAATGAATAGAACTTTTTATATGGCTCGACGGAGGGTCAAATCACGATGGGTTCTATACGTATATGTACATATATATATACATGTACGTATATGTATACGTATGTGTGTGTGTAGAAACAATACGGTGAGATGGTTAGATTCAAATTAATGGTTAGATTTAAACCAATAGGTTAATTAATTAAAGATATGTGACCCCCACATTTATTTAATTTTCCTACTAAATCTTCTCTAACCCTAACGCTAACCTTGCATGAACCCGAATCCTAACTTGAACACTAACCCTAACCCAAACCCGTTAACCATAACCCTAATCTTAACTCGAACCCATTAACCTGAAGTCGAACCCAAACCCACTAACCCGAACCTGAACCAGAACCCAAATAAGAGAGAGGAGTAAGGGAGGATATGGAAATTTTAGAGAATATTTGGCAGGGAAAATAAATAAATATGGGGACCACATATCTTTAATTAATTAACCTATTAGTTTAAATCTTACCATTAATTTCAATCTAACGGTGTAAAATGTCCATCTCACCATCTCATCATACGCTTATATATGTGTGTGAGAAAAATGTAGGAAGTTGGTACCAAGTACAAAATTTGGGCTTCGTAGTGAGGTGTCTCATTTTCATCCACTCTCCAATCTATGTGAATGTGATCCCCCATTTGATTGATTGGATGAGAATGAACCATCTTACTAGTAAGCATAAAAATTTACGCTTGGAACTAAGTTCCTCCACATATATATTGAAAATCTCACAAAAAGGAAGACCCATAAACCCAAATTAACCAAACGAAAATCGGTAAAAAGGGTCACTTGCAATTCAATTTCCCAAAGTTTCACCCTTCTTAGCTTTAATACCCTAAAGTTAAATTTTGACAATCTAATACCACAAAGCGCCAAGGAAAAAAAAATTAACGTCAATTTTGTTCAAGAATATCAACATAAAAAGTGAAAGAGGGAAAAAATTCTTCCAAAATTTCAGCTTTTCGAGTTTGTGGAAAGTAAGGAACAAATTTAAGGCTTTGGGTATCAAATTGTCAAAGAAACGTCAATTTGAAAACTTCTGCAAATTGTTCAAATAGGCATTCAAAACATCAAAGTTAAATAAGCCAAAAGAAAGGAGGAAAAATCCCAAAATCCTCACCTGAACGTAACAGATAGTGCTAACTGGATTCAATCTCTGAACCTTCTGCTGCAAATTCCTCCGCTTCCCCCCTGCATCTCTCCCCTCCGCCCTCCTCTTATTGAATCCCCCCATCGCTTCCTTCTTCTCCTCCATCTCGACCTCTGTAATAGTGCTCCTCCCTCTTCTCTGAGGGGCAGAGCCCCCTCGTCCTTTCCTCCTGTCCCTGCGACTGTAATAGGAGAGGACTGTGAAGTGGGAGTGATGGAGTTTTGATGGGGTTTTAGGGTTGAAGAAGAGAGAAGAGGGAGAGGAGAAGGGGAGTTTGAGGAGAGGGGTTGAGGATAGAAGCTTGAGGCTTGAGATGTGGAGCATTTTTCTTTTCTTGGTGGGTTTTTTGGGGACTTTTAAGGCTTTTTGGGGTTTTCGGGAAGAGGGCAAAACTCCAGCGCCAACGCAGGACAGCGGCAGCTGACGCGCGCCCCCTGCGGTCAGCAGCGCGTGTTGCGCAGTTCCGACCCTCAAACGCGTTTTCGACTGTTATTTTGTTGTTTTCTCAGGATTTGTTCGTTCTAGAGCTTCCCAACTAATTGGATATCATCCATAAACGTGGTTAGGCCGTTATTAACTGAAGATAGGGTCAAATCATTCATTCTTATCCAAATACCCTCATCTGGTACCCTATAAATACAAGCATAGGGCCTCCATTCTACGAGGGCGAATTATTATCAAGAGGGAGAGGTGTTGCTGAATTAAGGAGTCAAGGACCACGAAATTTTAGCGAAGGTCAATCAGATCCCGACGAACTTCAGCATAAAGAGGAAGGCTTTCGAAGGATCTACACCCGTATTCCCCCCCATCTGTTCCTTGAGATTAGGCTTAGTCTTAATCTCGATAAGAGCTACTGATTTCGCTTAGTCGATTTTAGTGCTTCAAGCGAATACTTCCTTGGTGAAGTAGTAGCTCTGTCAATTTTCCGGCAACCGGATCTGATCCGCGGTCATCCACGGATATCAACATCCCCAGCACAGGTGAAAACCCCACGCAAGCAAGAGTTGATAAACAGTTCTTGTGTTTTTTTCTAGAAAGTTATAATCTTTATTTTTGTTATTTGAATTCATTTGTAAACGATCAATGTTGAAATGAATTTGATAATGAAGACTATTTTCGACGTAAACAAACCGGAGACCACAGTGGGAGCCAACAGTCTCGCTGCGAGACTGTCGTGTCGCAACCTCAGATCCGGATCCCGGTTGATGAAAAGGTCAAGTACGAGTTCGACCAACAGAAGTTCAAGGAATATCTGTCGTCCTCCTCCTCCAGATCCTCTGCCCTTAGCAAGCATGGGAAGATCAACGCCCCCATTGCTGCAATAGCTGCATCTAGCAACGCCCCTCCGGCCTCCAATGAAGTCGGAGCTACAGATCTGAACTTCTCCTCAATCAAGGAGTTGAGTACTGAAGGCGTGCATATTTTGTCAAAGGGAGCTTGCCAAAGGCAGCGTCAATGCCTCGCATGCTGATTCGCCAAGGCTTTGGAGCCTTTTGACGAGATCTGCTACGATGCAGATCTGAAACTCAGAAGGCGTCAAGTGTTGCAGCAGCGAGCAAACGCCCCCTCCTCTAAATCATCAACAAGTTAATGGATTCAAGTCAAAAGAACTCGTTTAACTCTTGAGGAGCGAATCCAAAAGAGTCGCACACTGCTTACGCACACGCGAATTCTTGTGCAAAAGGTAAAAAAGATGCAGGAGGAAGAAGTGGAAAAGAAGCCACCAAGACTACACAAAGTATGAAGGCCAAAGTCCAATACGGCGGCCGAAAAGATCAAAAAATACGGATCACTCAAGACTGACCCTCCAAGCCGCGGGTCACTCAAGTCTGACCCTCCAAGCGACGGGTCACTCAAGTCTGATCCTCCAAGCCGCGGGTTACTCAAGTCTGACCTTTCAAGCCGTGAGTCACTCAAGTATGACCCTCTAAGCCACGGATCACTCAAGTCTGACCCTTCAAGCCGCGGGTCACTCAAGTCTGACTCTCCAAGCCTCGGGTCACTCAAGTCTGACCCTCCCAGCTGCAGGTCACTCAAGTCTGACCCACCCAACCGCGGATCACCAAGGTCTGACCCGTGCCAGGGCCAAGATAGACGGCCGAAAAGATCAAAAAATACGGATCACTCAAGACTGACCCTCCAAGCCGCGGGTCACTCAAGTCTGACCCTCCAAGCGACGGGTCACTCAAGTCTGATCCTCCAAGCCGCGGGTTACTCAAGTCTGACCTTTCAAGCCGTGGGTCACTCAAGTATGACCCTCTAAGCCACGGATCACTCAAGTCTGACCCTTCAAGCCGCGGGTCACTCAAGTCTGACTCTCCAAGCCTCGGGTCACTCAAGTCTGACCCTCCCAGCTGCAGGTCACTCAAGTCTGACCCACCCAACCGCGGATCACCAAGGTCTGACCCGTGCCAGGGCCAAGATAGGAGACACTCCGCACCCATTTTTTTGATTCTGTCGGGTTCCGCACCTACACTGATTGATTCGATACTTCTAGTGAAGCCACACGTCAGTGTGAACTCATCCAGAGGCAAGAAAGCAATGGAGGATCATCTGGGTCCTTTGCATAAGGATCGAGGCAAAGTTTCGATAAAAGAGCGCTTGGGTCCGGTGACTGAACCCCGAGCAACTCATCGAGTCGGGGGTCACACTCGCCCTTACCACAAGTCTGAGCCATCTCGTAAAGAGGAAATTTCCATAACCGACCACCTCAGACTGTGTGTCGAAGTTCAAGAGCCCTTTGAGGTCCCATGCTCACGAATGCGTAGCTCATAACGTGCGACTCTTGAGAACGTTAACAAGACGTCGAACCCCCAGAAGGAAACGTTTTCGTCTGACGGCGACGACGTTATACCTGGGAAGTCATGCTAAAACATGACAGGTTGCTCCGGTCATCAGACCGATGAGTTGTACTATCGGGTTGGGAGTACGAACAAGCCTCAGAAAAGGAGTAACCGAGAAATGAACTCTCATTGTCCGTGTGCCAAAATTCTCAGGACAGTATTATCAGCATGTAGCTGCCCCAAGACCGCTCCACAGAGGGTCTCGGTATTCCAAAGGCTTTCCTCTGAAGCGTCGAAATGCAAATCAAGGCATTCTCACAAAAGAAGATCAGTCGTTCGAGATTATGAATTCCTAGAAGTCACCATCAACATGGTGATTAAGGGAAAATCTTCGATTGTTTCAAGTGGTTCTAGGCCCGACTTTTCTTCAGGAAGAGGAGTCAATTCGGGAATAGCCCAACTAATGTCTCGACTTCAGCTAGAAGCTATCGGACCTAAAAAAATCCGTAGTCACGATTAACATGACTGATAAGGGAAAGTCGACTTGACCTTCTAGTTCTAACCCTCTCATATCGCATCGTCTAACCCGATTGCGATCGGGAACCATTAGGCAAAGGGGTTATCAGAGAATGAATAGAGGCCTATCCTCGGATGATGATGTGTCAGATGCCAACTCTGCAGTCGCTTCTGACAATATAGTATCCAGCCCAGGACAATCCCGCGAGACATTTATGATCAACACCGAGCAAATGGCCAAAATTCTCGAGGATGCTCTAGCCAAGCAGAAAGAGACATTCAAGATTTAAATGGAAATGACTATGCAGCGGATGAAGGAAGAGCATGACCAATAGATTTGGGCTCTGTCCAATCAATTTGGTGAATCCAGTCGTCGCAACATTGCTAACCAAGCAGGTAGCGATTCAGATGTGGATGAACACCTCAAAGCTGATAACCCTCCCGTTGACCAAAATATTAGGGGTGGCCCCACTGAAGACAACAACGCTGGGGTGGTCCCACCGAAGATGATAATGCCGGGGTGGCCGCGTTGCTCCTCTTAAAAATTGTTCAAAGCATGATACAAACGATGACGGGAAGATGAAAGACCTCAAGAACAAAACCAGTGCTTTGATGTTTGTTCGAGAGGTGAAGAAGACCGGTATTCTGTGTCCTTACCCAAGAGAGTGGGAGTCAATCCCGTATCCGGCGAAGTTCAACCTAATTAACTTCACATCATTCGACGGGAAAGGCTCGCCCACTCAGCATCTGATCTACTTTAAGTCCCACTTAGGCATGATCTCCAAGTAATAAAGACTTGATGGTTCGGTCATTAGTTGGCATCCTTCACTGGCCTGTCTTCGATTGATACTGTCGTCTCAAGCTTGGAAGCATCAACAACTGGGACGATATGGAGAGCTCATTTCTCGGTAATTTCTTTGATCATGACGCCAAGATATCAATCAGAATGCTCTTTGAGGAGAAACAGGAAGACAAAGAGATGATCGATAACTTCGTCAAGCGTTTCCGGGATAAGGAGATGAATTGCCGAGATCCGATCACAAAGGACTTCATCCTCCAAACCTGTCATAACAACCTATCCATCGGCATATTGGAAGTTATGGGAGTAGCACCGTCCACGACTTGGAAAGAGTTGAAGGTGCGCGGAGAGCAGGCCGAACGCTTCCTCAGAAGGAAGAAAGCTGAAAGAAGCCAACCGACGGCTAACCCTCTGAACTCAAGCTTCGTCTCCCGTGGTAAGGGGAAGGCACTTGTAGCAGTTGTTGATGTTAATCAGACGTCGCAACAACAACCCTGAAGACAGCAAAAGACTTTGGATCCGAGACTCTAAAAAGAGTACTCCTTCAAGGGCGAAGATGTTCCAGCTATTTTTGAATCCCTCATTGAGAACAACAAGATCAAGCTACCATCTATCGCAAATCAGGAGGAAGCTGATAATACTTCGGATCCAAAGTACTGTGCGTACCACAGGAAGATCCTTCATCCTACCAAGGCTTGTTTCGCTCTCAAAAATAGCATCCAAGTCTTGGTTGAAGCCGGCGTCATAACACTAGGATAAGCCAAATGAGAACGACATAACTCCGAAGAGTATACGAGTATAAACTGCTTCTCAATACTCCAACAGGTATATGAGTCAAACAGTTTTCTTTCTTTCACGGAAAGTTCCTGGGAGGGTGCCTTGCCTGGTATTCTTAAGGATAACCCGGTCATCCAACTAAGTATAATATTAGACCCGGTTTCACAAAGGAAGCTGGGGTGGATGATTCATGTAATGAGAAGTTCCCGGAAGAATGCTATATGGTGTATTCTTAAGGATAACCCGGTCACTACAAAGAAGTGATAAATAAGAAACTCTCACTTGGACTCTAAATGCTGGGATCAATTCCATCAGCTTCCGAGCACTTTTTTGCTGGGATGATATTTGATCACTTTGTTAGATCAATCTTCCCTCATAAAAAACTCCCACTGGTATTGACGATTCATAGTTCTCCACCAAAAAATCTCTCACTGATCAAATCAATTGAC